CAAATTTTCACTATTGCCACCACCGCCGCCTTTCAACACCACCACCTACACTACTACCGCTTTCCACCATCCACCGCCGCCATTGCCACTATTCATTTTTAAAAAATTATTAGAGAATATCATTTTGTTAATTTAATTTAATTTATTTCTTACTAAGAGGGATATTTTGGAGAATTTAATTAGAAATTTATTCCATTCTAAATTTTAAATTGGTCCAACCAAACACTAGAATTGTTATTATCATTCCATTCCTACACATTTCATATTTACAACCAAACAATAGAATGAGAATGACCATTCCATTCCATTCTCATTCTCATTCCATTCTCACTTGCATTCTATTTCATTCATGCACACCAAACGTAGCATTAAGAGCTTATTGTGAAACTAATTAGTCCACTACTTTCTGAATTTAATTTAAGAATTACAGATGACCTATATTTTGATTGAACCTACTAATTACCAGATCATGATGATTTTAGATTTCCTGAATTTAATTTAAGAATTACAGTTATTTAATCTGAACCCACTTTTTAAATATAACCCTATTTCAAACTAGAACATAGAAGGAGAATGATTATTGCACCGAATAGTTGCAGTTAATTGCTAGATTTACTCTTTTAATTGGTCAATTATGTAAATATTTAATTGTATTTGGTATAAATAACCAATTAAAAATTATTCGGTTAGATAATTCACTGTAAGTGTTCGGTGTAACTATCCCTACTCAACATAAAATTATGTACTTCTATACAAATAGTACACGCCATTCCTTCTAAGTTCATTTTAGTTGGTTAGGTGTAATGTGAAGAGAATATGTCACATTATGTGAGCTAAAAATCTTTTTCAGTCTCTCATTTCTATGGCAGTTTGTAGTGTAAGCTTTTACTATATTTATTTTGAATTTTTATCATTATAGACGGTGAAATTTAATATATAAAAAGCTTAATCTTGATAACGGATCAGTGATGTGATGTTGCAAAATGGTGAGAAGAGGGGACTTGCTTGAATGCTTGATTCAATTTTCTAAAAATAGTTTCTTAATTTCTAAGAATAAAAATCATAAAATTGTACAATAACCTGTTTCATTCATCTTTGAAAATTGTTTTTTTGAAAACGTAGTTTAAAAGAACAAAAATGCTTGCTTTTTAAGAATTGTCTTTTATATAGTCCTTTAAAAATGCTTTTATATTCAGTGAGTCTTATTTCAGGGTGAAAAATATAATATACTTCAAATTTTGAAAAAAAATATTTAACTGGTCTGAAATTAATATATTTTCGATACAGTTATTTACATATAATAACTGTATCATATAATAACTTCTCAAATTTTGGAGGGAATTTGATTCCACATCATGCACCTGTTGGGATTTATATGCCCTGGCATAGCAAATTCCTATCTGGATTGTAGTGACATATGTTCCTGACATATCTGAAATATTTATGATTTATATAATTGGTGAATTCAATGTATTATGTTTCGATTCACTATGAAATTGATAGTGTCCATGTAATTACAAGAAATATTTATATATATGTATGTGATGACAATCAATGCATGATATATAAATAGTAATTATAAATTATTCATAGTCGGTAATTATGGATGGACTCATAATTAATTAAGACTTGAACTGGATCCGCGTTAGGTTGAGATATATTGCGAGAGCCGTCGTATGCAATTACTCCCTATCACCGTCATGGCATTTGACTCTTAAGCATAAGAAAAGTATAGACTCTTTTATTAATTAATAATTACTTTAATTTGTTCGGCGGATTCTTCGGGATCCTTAGACCGACACTTTGAGTAGTTATGTAATTAATAGTTAGAGGGTTATATTTTCAATATTTGCATCATTGCTACTTGTATTTATTTTGTATTGATTATGGTTGATCACAAAGTAAATTCGAAGGCCTTCGTGTGTTTTTAGACAAAATGATTTATTATATATTTATTTATTTAAATTATTATTTTTGTCAAACAAATGTTTTATTGTGATCGAGCCAGAAATAATCAAAGGTATCAAAATAAATATATTAATTAAGTAGTCGGATTGATGGCTATATTTATCCGATAACTAATTATGCATAGAGGGGTCAAAGTGCAATATTGACTTAGAGGTTATTTATTATTTAATTGGAGTTCAATTAATTTCTTTTAGTGGAGTAGAAATTAATTTATGAATTAATTGAATTGGGTCCATGGACCGGGCCAATTATTAATTCATTGTAGCCAATAAAATAATAGGCCCAATGGATTCTCACTCATAGCCCAACTTGATATTGGAATCATATTAGATTTGAGACATATGAATTAGAGATGGAGAATGATTTGTTATTTCCTTTTCTTTATTTTTATGTTGCCTATAAATATACATGGTCTATGTATATTTTAGGGGGTGATTTTTATGAGAAGGAATAAGGAATAAATTTTCTCTCTCTAGAAAATTAGGGTTTATGGTCTCATCTAATAGAGGCTCCCACAAGCCTAGTTTTCCAAGGTAATTCATGGAGGCTTATGAGTGATTCCTAAAGGCAAAATAATTACCAAGAAGATGGAGATCCAAGGAGAATGCATCTTACTAAGGGATCTACAATAAGTGAGAACATTCACTTTAGAGGAAAGTTTTAAAGGTTTACTCAGACCTTTAATGTAAGTATTCAATCCATTAATTGAATGATACATCATATTTTTATTTTTGCATAAAACTTGTCTCTATGTGATGAATCAAGATTTATGAATTTAAATCCCTCGAAAAGTTTTTAAAACTAGCACGTTTCCTAACAACACCAAGCTAGCAAAATTAAGCTGCCAATTGGGCCATGCCCAAGGACAAACAAAAAGGGTGAAAGTGATCTACATGTCTTAAAAGTCTAAAGGATCAAATATTTGGTTCATTTATGTAATATATTCCAAGTTTCCAACTCAGGTATCTACCCATATGTCCACTTCTTCATGTTATGAATTACTCCGTATGATATATATATATATATATATATATATATATAGAGAGAGAGAGAGAGAGAGAGAGACTTGGTATCTGAATCTCACATCCAATATACGTACAGCCATTTATGAGCTATAATACAAAGGTAGCGCTGCTTATCCAAAATTAATTATTGAGTTGAGACAGTAAAGGTAATATTCACATTTTAAAAAATATATATATACTTCATTTTCTCTAGAATGTTAATTCATTTCTAATATATTATATGGATCTCTGCATAACTTTAACGTTGGAAGAGGGTAGACGGGATTAAGTAAAAATTCAATTAAAAATTACTGTTATGGTAGAAATTGATTTGCTTTCAATTAAATATCTTCTCTATATTATAGATATTTATTCATTGTTATAAAATTTGTTTCAAACCCAAATACTTTTTTTAATTCCTAATCGCACACGAATGAGCAAAGGTAAAATCTAACTACTTAGTCGTTAAATGTTAAACAGAAACGTAATTATGTCATCAAAAATATTAGAACTTTGTATTTTTTGATGCAAATACTCTTTTATAATTTAATTTTAAAAGAGAAATATGGTAGAGCACCTTAGTATATTGGTGGAGCGCTATGAAGTACGGACACGGATACGACACGACACGGTAAATTTCAAAAAAATAGGACACGGACACGGTGGGGATACGCCTTAAAATTATATATATATATATATATATATATAATTATATATTCAAAATATAATTACTAGAATCTTGTACAGATAAATAAAACAACAACAAAGAACAGAATCAATTTCAATAATTTCATCTCTATTATAAGAAAAATATAGACAAGATAAAACAGAAAATAAATGAAAAATAAAGTTGATCCAAATTCCAAACGAAGATATGCAGAAGAGACATAGCTATAATGAACTAAATATGTATATGAATAAACATATATACTTTTAGTCTTTCACAAAGTTTTATTCATGTAACTTAAATATATATATATATCTTGTTCATGAAGAGAGATAATTGAAGCAGAGGAGAGACTGAGAGGAGTGAGAGAAAATAAATTTTGTCTCACAGAAGTGTCGGACCGTGTGTCCAATAAAAAATAATATTTGGACACTTTACAGAAGTATCGGATACGAGTCTCAGACATGGGTGTCGGTGTCCGAAAAATATCCAACATGAGTACGGGATCCCTGGGAGGAGTGTCCGTGTTTCATAGGTGGAGCGCTAATATCAATTCCTTTTTATATATTGAAAAAATGCAAGGATAAGTCGAAAAAAAAAAAAAAAATGACAAAAAATTTATACACCTATTTATTCTTGAGATAAAAATATATATATTATATAGCAATGCTATTTAAACTAAATAATCAGAGTAGGCTGACTTAATTAATTGCTTATATTGAATGTCTTAAAAGTGACTAAAAGGTTATAACCTGATAAAAATAATAATAATAATAATTTAAAAAAAAAAAAAATGGCCCATGACGTCACTATTCACTTTGAAAATTGTTTTTTTTTTTTTTTAATAAAATAGCTCACCGGCGAGTGCTTATTGGCAAGTGAATATGACATTTATTGACAGGTGACGTGATTCCCTCACAAATAAACAAAAAGACCATAATTAATAAGAAAGATAACTTTTTTAAAAATAAAATTTAATCATTTATGATTGAATAATCACTAAACCGCAAATCTTATCGTATAATATATTTTTAATATATAAATACACACACATATTATGGTTCGTACATTGAAACGAATTTTGATATAAACTGAATGAATCAGCTCATTCATAAAAATGTATAACCATATCATATCGTTAAAAAAAATTTACGATCTCGACCATACATTGCGTATACGAAAATACGACAAACCATGACGTACAGGCACATCCATAGATGAGTTCAGTTAGTTTTGGTCTCGTGTCCCGAATCCTGATGTGAAGTTGGGCACACCATTAGATCCTATGCCCCACAATTCACATAATAGCAAGAGTAATATCAGTTCTGAAATTCACCAGTGACCCTTCTCTTTCTTTCCATATTTAGGCCAGACAAAACTCTCTTGATAAAGAGTGATTCATTTCAGCTTCTTCTCCAGCAAAAGCATATACCCACAACCAAAAAAAAGTCTGCATTTTCCCCTCTAATTTTCTCTTGTTTTCTCACAACAAATCCCTCAATCAATCTTCTCCTTTCATGCAAATTCTTTCTGGGTCCCAATCTTTGCCACGGATCATATTCACACACCAGCAAAAGATCCTTCTTTTCTGTTCTTTTTTCTTGTCTTTCTCAGCTGCCAAACAGCGCTGTAGTCTCTGTTTTATTAAAAAGGTTTCTGATAGTATTAGTAATTTAGAAGTACATTGTTCTTGTAGATTTAGGCCCTTTTTGGTGAGCTTTCTCTTTCTAGACTTCTTGTGTGTTTGAGAGAGAGAGAGAGAGAGAGAGAATCAGAACTAGAAAGAATCCAAGAAAGAGGAACTGTTGGGAAAAAAAGGGGTTGAATTATTGAATTTTAATGGCAGAAACTGGAGCAAAATGGAGGGTTTTGAGATCTCTGTCAATGATATTATTGAGCTATCTATTGGCTTCAATGATTGTTTCGGCCGAAAGAAGCTTGAAAGAGGAAGGATCAAATCATGATTCATCCAAAACAACAGAATCAGATTACTTTATGAAGCTCTCTAATTTCTTATGGCAATCCAATCGATCCGGTTATCAACATGTTTGGCCTGTAAGTTGTGAGCTATGAATCTAATCTAATTTGTGCTATAGATACTGTTGCATTAAATTGTATTGTGTTTGAATCTAATCAAAATCAACTTAAACTTTATTAACTATTATGTTCTAGTAGGTGTTTGTCTGTATATCTTAATTGGTTTTTCATTCTGCCATTATATAGATCACGACAAAAAAATTAATGCTTTATGAAATTGTAATCTTGCTTTGTTTATATATATATATATATATATATATATATATATATTTATTTATTTATTTATATGTGATTTATTTATTTATTTATATGTGTGTGTGTATACATAGACATTTTACATGTGTGTGTCTATTGGTTTTAACAGTGGAGATATATGATTAATTATTTTTATGTATGTATTGAATAGACAGAAATGGAATGGTTCATCTACTTGATCTCAATTATTTGGAATAAGATTCTGTTGTGTTGACTAATTGTCTGAACCCTTGTTCTTGTTATTTTAGATAGGTTTAAGTCTGATGGAAATAATATTCTACGAGCTTACATGAAAATATACTTATAGATGGTTTTGTGTGGTTGACTTTGTTGTTTATGTTATGGACATATAAAGGAATATCTATTCTATTCATCTTTATTTTTTAGATTATGCATAAATATGTAGTTGTTGGTAACTGATTTGTGGAAACTTAAGGTGCACAATTGTGGAATTTGGTTTACAGGACATGAAATTTGGCTGGCAAATGGTTGTGGGTACCATAATTGGATTCTTTGGTGCGGCTTTCGGAAGTGTAGGTGGCGTTGGCGGTGGAGGCATTTTTGTTCCTATGCTTAGCCTTATTATTGGGTTTGATCCAAAATCAGCGACTGCTATATCAAAATGTAAGAGACAGAAAAAAGAAAAAAAATTGCAATAGTGGTTACCGTAAAGATTTTTCAGTTTAAACAACCAACTCGGATTGACATAGAATGGGGGAAGGTAAAAAGGAAGAAAAGTTATTTTTCTTTAAATTAGAAACTAGAATTTTTTTAATATCTCAGTCGAATGAGTTGACTAAGAACCTGGTTTTGGATTCATCCATAACAGTAGAAGTGGGGACTGTTTATCACTAAATAACTAAACTTTTTTGGGCTGCAGACACTTGATATACTACTTTGTTGTGGCATCAAATTTGTTTGAGTTTAATTGAGTTTTCATGGCATTATTGAGGAATTTAATGGACCTTGATCATTGAATATATTTAAGGGAGTTGAGTCTGAAAACCATCATTTAGCTGATGCAGTTTGCCTGGATTAAGTTTCTTTGTTAATTTTTTCATGAACTTAATTAACTTCCATAGAAGGGAAAAAAGACTGTTGTTCTGAAAATTCACATTTTGCTTTATATTAAATTGATCCGGTTTAATATGGGATTAATAACTTGTGTCTGTTTCTATGGTCAGGTATGATCATGGGTGCTGCAGTCTCCACTGTTTACTATAATCTTAGGCTAAGGCACCCTACACTTGATATGCCTATCATCGACTATGATTTGGCTTTGCTTATCCAGCCAATGCTCATGCTTGGGATTAGCATTGGAGTTGCTTTCAATGTGATTTTTGCAGACTGGATGGTCACAGTTCTGCTAATTATTCTCTTTATTGGTAATGGTTGATTGCATTGCAATTCTTCTTGCTATGCATTCTGCATCAGTAAAGACTTGACTTCTTATTGGTGTTTGCAGGCACATCGACTAAGGCCTTTTTCAAGGGTGTTGAAACATGGAAAAAAGAAACCATTATGAAAAAGGTTATAATGCAATTCACGCATTTTATGAGTTTAGAGGCATTTGGAAGCCTTACAGGAAATAAAATAATTCCATTTTGTTTGTAATAGCACGTTGATAAGTCTCTTCATTGCATGTGTCATATGGTCTCTAAGATATTATATAAATTCTTATTATTCGTTTTCATTTCGTATGTTTATTTGAATTTGTTAAAATGACTGCGGCATAACATGGGATTTGCCCTTTTAATGATATGAGAACACAAGAGGTTGCTTTTATTTTTGTCCATGTGTTCCCTGTGATGTATATATTTGTGCAACCAAATATAAATTCTTCCATTCTGAATAGCAGCTTCTTTTTCTCATTTTTAATTTCAGGAGGCTGCTAAGATTTTGGAGGCAAAAGGTGAGTTTATCTACTCTTCATCTATGATGTCAACACCATAAATGACTCCTTAGTCATGATTTCTCTCTTTCTGGAATAATCACTTATAAGTGTCCTTTTCTGTCAGGTAATGGTAGAGAGGAAGCAGAATACAAGCTTCTTCCTGGTGGCCCAAGCAATGGCGCTCAAGTGGAGACCAAAGAAGAACCAGAGGTGAGCTTTCCCTGAAAAGCTTATTCAGTTTCTAGAGTGCTCAAGTCTGATACATGAAACCACCACAGGTCACTATTATTGAGAATGTTTGCTGGAAGGAACTTGGGCTTCTCGTTTTTGTTTGGGTTGCCTTCCTTGTATTGCAGATCACCAAGGTTTTCCTCTCCCTCTTTCTCCAATTCTGTTCCTGATGTATTATATTTCTTGAGAAAATTATGTTTTATTTCTCCTTGTTTGAATTTGTGGACTCACTGTTTTTTACACCTTCTTGTTTGGACAGAATTATACAGCTACTTGTTCAATCACATACTGGGTAGTGAACTTGTTGCAGGTACCTTTTTCAATTATGATTAAAAGAACTGGATTCACACCTCTCTTTCCTGATTTATTATGTGCACATAAAATTTAGCACTGACCCCATGGTTGAGACTTGATACTGAAGTGCTGTAACAAGTAATGAGCTTTGCCGGCTTTAGAATGGGATTTCAAGCATTTATCTGAAAAATACCATTTTCATGTCTTGCAGATCCCTGTTTCTGTTGGTGTAACTTTGTATGAGGCAATCAGTTTGTACAAGGGACGGAGAGTTATTGCATCCAAGGGTGATGCAGGCACTAACTTCCGAGTGCACCAGCTGATGCTCTACTGCTTATGTGGTGTACTGGCTGGTGTAGTTGGTGGACTGCTTGGTCTGGGTGGAGGATTTATTATGGGTCCACTATTTTTGGAGCTGGGAGTCCCTCCTCAGGTGTGTTTGTGCTTTTCCTTAGATATAGTAGCAATTGTGAGGAATAGTAGAAAAAATGAAAAGTTGGTAAATTTATATTCTTTTATTGATGTTGATTATAGAGGCCATTGCTTGGTGCAATGGTAAAATGACTCGGGCTATGTAACGTGAGTTCAGATCCTGATAGTAGCCACTTTGTGTAACTAATGCCTAAGGCTACAATATTCCTCCCAGCACCCTCGATTAAAGAAGACCTCACTGGGTCACTATTCAGGACCAACATTGTTACCCATTCCGTTATTATGCCACCCTCAGAAACTCGTTCTTCAAGCCATTCCACAGACAAAGTCTTTTAGCCTACTAAGGCCATGAATCAATAGGGTTCACATTGTGCCACAAGAGGATCACTGTCATGGGAGACCTCATAGGGGCAGCCTGCAACCTTGGCAAAATGAATGTAAAGTTGTACATGAGACTGTCCGGGGGACGTTAAAAATAGGTGAAGTGCTTATCAGAACCATGACAAAATCATGGGGATAGTTTAGGAAATTATGGACTTGATGGATTGATGGCTAGAGATAGGAGCTTGTTGAGGTGGTCCCACCCCGGCAGTTCTGAGTGGCAGGATTCATCTGAATCTGTTTACTGGACTAGGATTGGGGGACAGATGATGTCATGACACATGGCTCGAGCATCGCCTCTCACAAACTTAACAACAAATTTCCTGTCACTTAAGCATACATACCCAGTATTGCGAGTGGCAGTTTATTTGCATCATGATTGGTTATTGTAATAGTCCGGTTGTCCTTCAGAGCTTTAGGTTCCCAGGAAAAAGGTCATTTACCCCACCATGATGGGTAGGCAGGCATCACCAATTAACCCTAAACCTATTCGAGTCTCTACGCATCAATATACGCCCTCTTAGTTTGCACCCAATTTCATGACCTCTCCATTCTTCCTAGACCGCCCCTCTCATTCGTATCATGCATCGGGCATTGCATACCTATGTCTCTCACCTCCTCTGTTCAAGAATCTCTACTGTCAATAATATCTAGGACTTAGAGAGAACATTTTGCCTCTTTATGTTAATAAAAAATTTTGTGAAAAATCCTGGATAGATTAAAGAATGAATACAAGTGGTCGAAAATCATTACATTTATATTGAAGGAGAACATTTTGCCATTTCCAAATTCTTAAAATAATTTGATATAAAGACCAAGAGTTGCGTTTTTTTATTTGATAATTGTAATTTATGGTTGGTAACTTGAGTAAGAAAATGGGACAAATATGTTGAACAAAATAATTCAGATTTAAGTAGCCAATTTGTAGAAAAGTACAATACTATAGTAGACATTGACATGCAAATTCCGAAGAACGGAATTAGATGTCAAAATAACCATGTTGTTGAGTTTGTTTCTTATTCAATGTTATGAACATTTGCTATCTAGTCTGGTCTGAAACTTCCTGAGAAATTTTTGTGTAGGTCTCAAGTGCCACAGCCACCTTTGCAATGACCTTCTCCTCATCAATGTCTGTAGTAGAATATTACCTTCTTAAACGATTTCCAGTTCCCTACGGTAAGTTACTGCCATGATAATTTCAGTTAACTGATCCTGTTATTTTCTTAAGAAATTGTCTAAACAACACGAGTGAAAGAGTGAGTGAGATTGCATGTGAATTCAAGGATTGAAGTTCATATTTTATTTCTAATGAATTCAATGCAGAAGCCAAGGGATTGAAGTTCATCTCTTAATACTAATGCATTCAATTACTTCTGTACATTTTGGCAGCTCTTTACTTTGTTGCTTGGGCAACCATCGCCGCATTTATTGGGCAACATGTTGTAAGAAGGCTGATCACTATATTGGGAAGGGCGTCTCTGATCATCTTCATTCTGGCCTTTACAATATTTGTTAGCGCCATCTCACTAGGTGAGCATTGATCCACCCCCATTGTTTGGATGATGTCAAATACTTTTTTTCTGTAGAACAAACACCTTAGATTTCTCAGGCAGCAAACAAAGAGTCTACATATCTATTCTGCTTTTAAGTCCGATGGGTAGATTCTTTAGGTCTGCTAAAGAAATGACTGCTTTCTTAAAGTGATTTGGCTTTTGTTTTGTAGGTGGGGTTGGCATATCAAATATGATTGGGAAGATCGAGCGAAATGAATACATGGGTTTCGAGAACCTCTGCAAGTATGATGCATAGGATGCCTCTTTCTTCACCCCTCTCTGCACAATCTTTCATAAAAGTCATCGGTGTTCAAATCAGGCTCCTCGGGACACAAAAGTGTCATTCCTATCAATTCTTGACTAGGTAGGGTGAATGATAGCTATTGCTTCCATTCAGTCCACTGAAGATTGATTGTTCGCGGAGATACACTTGTAAAATCCTTCTATAATTTTTTTTTCCTCTGTTTGGTTTCCGATCAAATGCAATCAAATTAAAGAAAAGAGTGTTTCCTGAGCTTCTTTTCGATACAGACAATATCTCACTTTTTAGGAGTTCTGAGTGTCTCACATATCTAAACGTCTGATGATGTCCCGTCTCAATGGCGATTCTTATGAAAAGGATCAAGATCAACTGGCCACTAAAGACATAACAGTTTTGCTCCATTTTTAACTAAATATTAACTTCTAATTTTGTGGAAAACATAACTTACAGTAAACTTTTGTTAGACAAAAACGATGATGCTTATCTCAAGAAAAATACCAGTTTCCAGTTTTCTCGTTTGTCATGCCCTTGAAGATTTCAGCCTATCATAAACCAAGCTCAGTAGGAACAGAGATCTTAACCCATTATGTGTAGCTACAATTTTTCTAGCTACTGGTATGTTTAGAACTTGGATGAGACTTACTAGCCTGGTTCAAGAAATGGGGACTCTTAATTTACTTTGCATATGATGGTGCAGCAAACTGTTTCAGACATTAGAAAATGTGTGTGTGTGTGTGTGTGTGTGTGTGTGATTTGTGGTGCTTTAGACTCATACTATAATATGCATTTTCAGCAAGAAGATTGTTGATTTTGTTGAACAGCAGGCCCTATGAGTCTCCAAAAATGGTGTGTTTTCTTTATCCTCCTACAAAAACAGGCTGTTTAGCTGACCCTTTTGCTTCCATGGTTATATATATTTTTAAAAATGAAATGATTGGAGGCTATAGAAATATCATACCCCTTCACTGCATGATCCCGGAGTTCTTTTTTTCCATGCGTCTGCTCATGATTCTATATTGATATGGTAGAAGAAGAATAGTTGGCTATAGGTAATGGATTGATATATGTATATACACACACACACACACACACACAAGTGCAGTTGCAGATCTTGGCGTTGCAGCGTTGTAATGGTCACACTCATCTGGAGATGTGATTCTCTCTCCAAATTCGGTGAGAATCATTTTCGTAAAATTAATACATACGTTTGTAATTATAGAAGAAATCATTATATATTTTTGTTTTATTTTCATAAGAATGTAATCGTCCATATGAATTCTTTTTCTCTATTTTTTATTTTTTATTTTTTTATTATAGGATATTTCAACCTAATTCTGTTGTATAAAAAATGGTGGATCCGTAGTATCTAGTCAAAGAAGATGCTTCACATCATCAAATGGTATATGCTTCTCCTGTACAGACGACCTGGACACTATCTCTTACTTCTAAACTTTCTTTGGAATATTTCCTCTGCTAACATCACCTAATACTTTTATTTGTGTGTGTGTGTGTGTGTGTGTGTAGCTAGATGAAATGATCTTGAGAGAAGAGCAGAAGATGTAAAGACACCAATTTGATTCATTTTATTTTGGTAAATTATTCTACTGGATTAGACCATGTGAGATGTTATTATAACCAAAGTTTAATGATGAGATTGGGGGCTTATGCATAATTGTAAGTATCACGTGTGCTATCAATTACTGCTTAAAAAAAGTATATTATCATTTGTCAGAAATTATTGTTAATTTGGTTAATTTAAATCAATATGTCTATTTATTATTAATATGTTCCCTCTCACACACAAACACATAGAGGAATAAGGAAACATACATTGAACTATATTATGGTAGAAAGGAATAGATGCTTTACAATATTATTACTAAATGGAATATTACTGGAATCTAAGCATTTTAAAATGTAGGAAAAAGAAAAGAAAAGAGAATAATCAATATCAGTTTGGACGGTAAATTTAATAAGCCAACTTTAGATAACCTAACCCATTAATTAGAATCACTTGAAAAGAGAAACTGATGGATTCATGCATATTATCCACTAAAAGAAGATGCTTCCTACCATCACACAATATAAATACATATAAATATATATATTTGGCAAGAAACACACACCAGCCGTATACTCACTTCCATTTTGTTTATTTAAAAATACGAACCATTTGAGATATATAAGAGATACCACTCAGCCATACAATATATACTTATTCCATAAAAACGTCTCGATTATTATACTTTATTATTTTTTCATTTAATTCTTTTAGGATAAAAAAAAAAACTCAGGCTTTAATAAAGTTTTCTTGTGTAATAAAAAGTAAAAAATAAAAAAATATTAAACTTAAAATACAAGAAATCATATATTTGTTAAATAAAAAAAAGGGTATAATGGTCATTATATAACACTTTCAGTTAGTCTTGTTACTGTCATCACACTCTGACCAAACTTTGGTGATAATTCGACCAAATCTTACTAAAATATGTTTAGAAGTTCGGGCCGAATAAGAGCGATTATTTTTTTTATTTTTATTTTTGGTTAGCACCAGAATTCACCTAGACAGGAATTCACCTCGGACTATAAATCGGGGATACTGTCGACGGCTCCACATCTCATCAGCAATAATTTCAATCGAATAGGAGTGAATGTTGATAAGAAAAGTATCCGACCAAACATAGTGCTAAGACATTAACAATATTTTTCTTCTCATTTCATAGACAGATAACAGTCAAAATCCGCTTTACCAATATCTTAAACGATCCAAACTTTTGTTACCATTAGATTCTTGTAATAATAAAACAAATGAATACTTTTTTTTTTTTTTTATATATATTATAAAGTTGTTATTATTTGGATAATTTAAAAGAATTATTCTTAGTTTTATGCTATAAAAAAAGTCAAGAAACTCTTTTGGGGTGCCGAAAGTTGTCATGCTTTTCATTTCTTTAACAAAGTTTGCTTTATGTAAGATATTTATTCTTTCTTGACTTGATCACGGCCGGCCATATCTTAGCGGGGAAGCGAGGGATTCGAGCTTTACAATGACATTTCCTTGCCCCAAGCTCTACAATGACATTTATAAGCATGTATGAGTATTTACCTCCGTAAATAATAATCAAATAGATAAAATTTTCATAATATAAATAAATATATTAGAATAATGTGTATTGCGCTTAATAATAAATTACAAATAAATATAATTTACCACTACTCCCTTTGTCCTAATATACATCCCTTGCATGGGAAATTTTACTTTTTATGGTAGTGGAGTTTTAATAATTTTTTTATTATATTGATAAGAGTGAAGTTTCAAATATGCCTTTACTAAAAGACAAAATAATGTTCCGTAATTAGCGCAGTTGTTTAATTAAAATGATAGTTTAGGAATGCTATAAAAAATAGTACATTCAATTTTGAAATGAGACGTGTTTTTTGGAGCATCCCAAAATAAAAAGATGGACAACTATTTTGGAGAGTACTACACAAGATTTAAGCTCATAGGATGCAATACTACTTCTAATTGTTGATTAAGAAGGAAGTGGGTGACATTGTAACAGAGTGATAGAAGGGTCTATTTGATATCTTTTTTATATGAAAGAGAAAAATAGTATTTGGTTTCTTAGAAAATATTTGAGTTAAAAAAAGTTATGTTTTTAAAATTTCTTTGAAAACTGTTTTTATTAATTGAACCAAACAAACTAAAGAGTGTGTCATTTCTCTTTTAACCAAAATACACTTATCCAAATGGTTCGATTGTCCACCATTTTACGTTTCCAATTTTATGTAAAAGTATAAACAATGTCTTGGTGATTTAATATGAAAGTAAAACATGTGTTGTAACTAAAATTTGTTACACAATGTTTCAAAACCAAAAAAAATATATATATATATATAGTGTTGAAATGATTGTAAAAAAAATATGATATTTATTATTATGTTTTTTTTAAAAAAACATAAACTTGTCACAATTACAAATAGCAAAAACAAGTGAAAACATATGCTTGGTTCAATTTTAACTACAAATAAAAAAATTGTACAAATATGTATTTGGCTGAGAAATCAATTTTTTTTTTTAAATTCTACTTTAAAAAAATTAAAAATTATCTTTTATTATTATCCGAAAATAAATTTTAAAATTTTTCAAAATTGCTTTAAGAGAGTCACAAATCAATAATTTTGGAGTATCATGTAAAATGTTATCAAACTTGTTTTTCACTTATTTGACAAACACATAAAAAAAATAATAATAAAAAAAAATACACACCCACAGGGAAAAAAATTAAAAAATAAAAAATAAATCCCACCAATTTTATGGCACAAGTCACATGACCAAAATCACATTATAAATAGGACTAATTCCATAAAATCTCTACTATTTTCAAATATTGATCATAAATCCCTAACTAATTTCAAAAAACCCCCGACATTTTAAAAAGTGATCAAATTACTCTAATATCAATGTCCGACCTGTTAACGAATTTGACCTTATGATTACTTTAAAATTAAAAGTTGATATATATTATTTTAAAATTACAAGAATACCCCTGAATAGGTCTTCTTCCTCTTCACTGGAACCGGGTCATGGTAGAATAGGTTCATCGAAAATTTTGATCTAGCTTGGTGACTTTGGGGGTATGGATGAACAAATCATCAAAGTTGCTCGAACAGCGACCATCAAGCCACTGGTATCAACCAATGTGGCAATACTGGTGAGGTTACCTTGGGCGACAACTTTCAGTCATTGTGAAGGTAATGAGTTGCTCGTAAGCGACCTCGCCCAACCTCTCCGTTTCCTTCTCTTCTTATATCATTCTCTCTCTTTAATTATATCAACCATCATACCCCCAAAGTCACCAAGCCAGATCAAAATTTTCGATGAACCCATTCTACCATGACTCGGCTCTTCTGAAGAGGAAGAAGACACATTCATGGGTATTCTTGTAATTCTAAAATAATAAATATCAACTTTTAATTTAATAGTAAATCATAAGATCAGATTTAACATTTCACAGCCCGGTTAATAGGTGGGATACGAATTTTGATTTTGGGGCAATGTGCTGGGACAATGTGATTACTTTTTTAAATGTCTGAGAGTTTTATAAAATAAGTTTGGGGTTACGATCAAAATTTAAAACCAGTGGGGTTTTTATGAAATTAGCCCTTATAAATAAAACGTATAGCCAAACTGGGTCTTGCTTTTCCAATTTATTACGAATCTCTGGTCAATCTTAGCAAATTTCGAAACCCTAGCTTCGTGTGTGTGTGTGTGTGTGGTGTTGGGAGGGCCTGAGCGACCATGGTTTTCTACTTCAAAGCCCGACCAGAGGCCGGTGATTACACCATCTTCATGGGTCTCGACAAGCACGAGAACGAAGAGCTCATCAAATACGGCTTCCCCGAAGACATTTGGTGTGTGTGAATATATATATATAAATATATAACTACATGTATATATGTTTGCGACTGTATTATCTCTTTTGTGATTTACTTGCCACAAATTCAATTTTTGGGTACTCTTGGTATTGCCTACAGTTTTTTCTTGATATGAATTGCATTCATTTCATGGTCTAGTTATATCATTTTTACTTGTTTTGATCTATCAAATTTCGTGTGTATATGTATGTTTATATGTGCATAGCTCGCTATCAATTTTGCAAGGAAATTGTGCTTCTTGATTTGTACTAACGTTGTGTTTGGAAGCATGGAATTGGAATTGGAGGAAAATTGGTTCAAATTTTCAACTATTTTTTCTCCAATTCCAAATTTTTTATTTCATGTTCCCAAACATAGTTTTACGTTTCCTTAGTGTTTTATTGTCAGATAATATGATTGTTTGTCTTTAATTGTGCAAATTTGTGTTTGTTATGACAACAGGGTCTTTTTGAATTTGTTCTACTTTTTCTTAGGACCCGCAATTCGTAGTTTTTTCATATTTTATGTTATTTTTCGTTTTTGGTTCTTTAGCTGCTTTATGCAGTTGCCTTTGGCGGCAGCATCGCGAAACACAACTCACAATTCGCGTGTATATGTAGGTTTATATGTGCATAGTTCGCTATACTGATCTCAGTTTTATCTTTACATGATTTCATCTGTTTATATTTTGTCGTCACGGCCACAATTTCATGGAATATTCTCGCTGATTATGTATTCATTTCCCGAGATTTAGCTTTTCGTTTACTGATCAATTTCGTGACTCTTTCTTAATTCTCCAATACTCAGATTGGTGCTAGTTAAGATAAGAATAGCTTTTGAGTAGGCCCTACACTTATTTTGCTTGGAATGTCAATTTAGGTGGAGATAGAAAAACGAAAAACTGGGGAAACAGCTTTTACACAGAGGACCAAAAAAGAAAATAAAAGAAGAAAAGGCCAAACTTGATGTAGCACAGTGGTTAAGTGCTGGGATGTTATCTAAACTGGAGGTGGGGTTGTGGGTTCAATTCTTACAGTTGAAGTGTTGAACAAAAGAACAGAGGGAAGGTCGGAATATTTCAGCAAGGTATTAATAGTTGACAAATGAATTATATGGCAGATTGGCTAAAACACCTGATAAACTGATAATTTAAGTTGTTAAGTGGTTCGAATATTGGTTGATATAGAGTTTTTAAGCTTCAGCATCCGTTGTAACTTTTTATTTGGAAAAATGCACTTTTCTTATTGCTATTACAATTCATCTCCATCAATCACAATTTTTTTTTTGATAATTAAAATTATATTAGAAAAGCATTGAAAAGGGGAATGCGTCTCTAATACACAAAAACGAGAAACCTAAGGACCAATAGAGTCCAAAAGATCAAATAAATCATCTATCGAGGAGCAAGCGCTGCCTCTTACATAATAGAAAAGAGAATGAAGAATATGAGATTTTAAGTTTGCAAGAGACGATTCCTTTCCTTCAACATTTCTGTTATTTCTGTCTCCAAATGCACCACCAAACACAATGTGAGACAATCCTCCAAAAATCACGAGCATGACCAGTAACAGGGCATCTTTTCCAAGCGTTGATTAATTGAAAAGTTAAAGAGGCACCAAAAGTTATAGAGGTTTGACAATTGTTAGGGATCTTCTTTGATGCAATATGAAGGTGTTCTATTAGTTTCTTTGTTTTATTAATCTTGCTGCATTGTAGCAGTGGTTCCCGTTATAATCTGTAGTTAAATTCTTAACAAGACCATAGATGTTTTTGAATTATGTACAAAACTTAGGTAATCAGAATACATAGATGTGAGGAAAGCATGACAAAAATAAGGATCTAGATAAGTGGGACTGTGAGAGAAGAAAAATATAAATTTGAAGTAAATACTTCCATGAAAGAATTGAAGTAGTATCTTTGGGAGAAGATGAGCTTGAGCTAACTAAAGCTGTTTGTGATTTGTATCAAGGATCATTGCATTTGCTTATATGAAGAAGAGGCTTGGATTGAATTTATGCATACAGAGAGAGGGATGGCCGTTTTTAGCTTAGTTGAAGTGGTATGATATGCCTATGCACGAATAAAATTTAACACTAGTTAGAGTAAATTAGCAAAATGGGATTTTTTAAGCGAATTTAAATTTTAAGGATATGGATTTGTTAGAGTTTACTTCATTTCTTGGTGTAATAGTAAAAGCTGAAAAGAATGAGGACTCTGGTTCAAGTTTCAATTTGTGCAAACAATTTCAAAGTTTATATCTATACTTAGTCATCCCCTCCTATCACCTTGTGTAAGTGGGACCAACACTGGGTAATGGCATTTTACTACTTGAACTTGATTTTACAAGGACAAGGAAGGCATAAGAATAAACACATGAGATTTCGTAGCGGCAGATGACACAACTGTCAGTGTGGTGAAAGTATAGTCTATATGGACTTATGGAGTGAATTGGCCAAACAAGTAACCTACCTTGTGTGGTTGGGAAATAAAAAAAAAAATCATTTTATAGTTAACTTCTTGATGTCCTAAACACATGAGATTTCATTTTATGGTTTTGCTTTTCGGACAGAAGAATTGATTTTTTAGAGAAGTCAAAGGAATTTTCAAGAGAAAAACTCACTAGTCGTAGAGGCTGGTAATTCTTTTGGATGATTGTAGGGGGTTAAACAGCTGGAACTCACGGATGCTGGATATGCATGCTTTAAAGTAGTACGGTGAGGAAGTTATCAAGCCGGCTTTAGTAAATTGGGAATTAATTAGATTAAACTAAATTTGATGGTAGCAGCATTATGATGTTCCATGCTTGGGCAGTGGTAGCACTGTCATTGTTTGCTCTAATATGTGGATTGAGATTAGATCTAAATGCTACTTGGACCATTAATATCGGTGAAGTGGAATCACCAATGTTTAGATAAGGTTCAACAACATTAATATTTTCTTCAGGATATTTCTTTGCGAAGGATCCTGCAAAGGAAGTTAAGTAGACTAATGATGCTGTTCCTTAACATTTTAGGTTCACAACTCTCATTATTTGGGTCAAGGAGATAGTAATAGTGAACTGTTTAGGGGGTTAAGCCAGTTTCATGTTCCTCTACCCTGTTTTTTGGTGGCCTATGATGAATCATTTTACTTACCAAAAGAAAGGGTTGATAGCTAATAGATGGAGTTACTGTATTACTTGATAATATGCATTGGAGGGTCACACAATTGCAACTCTCTTAACAATAAGCTGTGTGAATATAGAGACCTTTTTGACACTTTACAGTGTTCATCTTCTAGTCCTTTGTAATTGTTTTTGTATTTATCATGTTCTTACAAACTTCTGTGTGGCTCCTTAAATGCGAATTCTCTCTCTCTCTCTCTCTTCTCTAAGAGAAGTGCTTGAATTATGAATATATATCTTAGCACAGCTCTGTGGTAGGGTTTATCTACGGCAGGTCATCTGTCTTTTTGATTGGTTTGAAAAATAGAATCATCTGGCCATAGACTAAAGTTATAATTTTATTACCCAATCCTTTCCTTAATGTTTAGTAGTTCCTTGACAGTGATTTGTTCTACTTCAGGTTCCATGTGGATAAAATGTCCTCAGCCCATGTTTACGTGAGACTGCATAAGGGCCAGACAATTGATGATATATCTGAAGGTCTTCTTGAAGATTGTGCTCAACTAGTCAAAGCAAACTCCATCCAAGGCAAATTTTCAATACTTCTTTTTTATAACGGTTTTGTCATAGACAGTCATTTTCTCTTTAATTAAGGCATGAAATTGAAAATTTAGCACTAAAGTGATCTAATAACTAAAATTTTAGTAAAAAAAAAATTACATTACATAAATGAGGTAAAATTTTATTATAGAGGCAAAACTATCTATTTAGATTAATATGAAACCATCTTCTAATAAATGAATTCTACATTCAGTTAAAAGGCAAAATCTCTTGGCTTAGAGTCTAGAATTTTTTTAGTTAATTTTTTTTTTCCTGTTAATTGAGAACTGATAGTGTTATTAAACACACTTATTAAACTCATATTTATATGAGGTAATGTCAAATTTTTATGTATTTTTTGTGATTTTTAGTTACATTTTTTGTTGGCGTTCTTTATTATTTTTTAGGAAACAAGGTGAATAATGTTGATGTTGTTTATACTCCTTGGCAAAATCTGAAGAAGACCGCTTCCATGGATGTTGGCCAAGTTGGTTTCCACAATTCAAAATCGGTGAGCTATTTTCTGCATTTTTAGTGCATGCATGTTATTTACTTTTGGATATTTTATTGTTTATCGGATTATTCATGGACGATGGAGAAGATCTTTGTTTGATATTGGTATGCTGCTGTTTAGGTCCGTACTGTGAGAGTGGAGAAGCGAATTAATGAGATAGTTAATAGATTAAACCGGACAAAAGTGGAACGAAAACCAGATTTGAGAGGTAAAGTTCAAGATCTCCTATATATATATATGTGTGTGTGTGTGTGTGTGTGTGTGTGTGTTATGTTTAGATTGAACTAGCCTTTGGCACCTGATTTTATCTGAATGAAACGTGATGTTGTGGGGTTGCAAAAATGTAAAGGAAGAACCCAAAACCTACTGCAGTATCCACAAGACAAGCAGAAGAGAAAGCCTTAAAATTCTTATCAAACTGAATAATCAATAAGGATACCAAGTTTTTAGAGTTCTCATTTTTCAAACCCTTTTACGAGTTGAAAGTATTGGAACTCTTAATTCTTTTATGGATTTTAAGAAGTGGTTTTAGAGCCTGAAAATGAAATCCCTTCTTTTCAAATCCTTAAAGGAAGAGATTAAGAACATAGACGTGTTTTAATCGCTACCAACACTACATTACCATGACCACTACTGATACTGTTGTCCACCATCATTGATACGTTACCAAGGGCTGCCACCACCATTGCTACATACCACTGTGTTGCCACCACAGAGACCCCCTATCACCAATACTACATTTTTATTAAGATATTGACCACCACTGCAGCTACTGTTGTTGCCATTGCCACTGTCACTACCGTCACCATTGACTCCATGCTACCACCATTTCACTGCCATCAACTGTTTCAGTTACTGCCTCTCTATCACTGCTACTGCGTCCGTGATAATCATGGCTATTAGTGCTCGTCTATTATAACCACAAATGCTTCCCTTAGGATCATCAGACCTTCATTTTATAAGAATTCAATAGACTCATCCACACTATAAATTTTAACAATGAGGGGATTTTTCGTTTTCTTCTATTCCAAGTCTTTTTTTCCCCCAAATATTCTAGTAATAAGAAATTCTTCATCCCAATACGCTCTTGCGTCCTTTTTTTCCATCTTGGCGTTCTGTAGCTTCCAAAAATCTTAGAAAATGAATAATAACTTGCTAAAAATCCTAATATCCCCCTCATTTAGATAGATTGCTGGCGATGGAGAGCTAAAATTCATTTCCAAAAGGACTTGAGGTGGGTACCTTGCTTTTAGAGATTTGTTTTCTCATTTGTTTAAAAATTTCTAGCCTCTTCAAGGCTCCATTAAGCAAATTTGTGGTTTGTTTAAACTCTTCAAATTCCCTCTCAAATCTCTTTCTTGGAACTCCCTTTTTTCAAATAATTTTTGTTAATGCTGGGGAACTGGAAAATCAGCCTTCTTCTCATGAGATAAAGTCTTTTATACTATGTTGGCTCATTCACTTCTATATTTGTTTTAATATGTTCTTGAATTGAATTGATTCCTCTTCCTACCCCTGCTCAATCTGTGCTGCTAATATGATTTGGAAAGTTAAAGTCTCTTCTGATGTTAAAGTTTTGGTTTGGCTAGTAGCTCACAGTAGGGTTAATACCAACGAAATGCCCAAACTTGAGGCATCATAAAGCTTTAAGCACAGACATTTGTGTGATGTGTTAAATGAGTATCTAGACTTCTAGCTGTCTCTTTACTTATTGTCATGTATCCTTCATACTTTGACATAGATCGTTCGCTCTTGCAAGGATTATGTGGATTGCTCCTAGGGACATTGACTCTTAACTTGCTACTTCTTTGGTGTCTTTAGGGGAGAAAGCTAAATGAAAGGATTAACATGATCTTGTAAGATTGTATTCTTCGGGAAAGGAATTTTGGGATTGGGCTCATTTTCTAGATTCCCTAGGCGTTCACTTCAAACGGCTTTAAGGGTATCCCCCTATCTGAACATATTTGTGGCTGATTGATTGTTGTGTCATTAATGTTATCTATGCTGTTTGGACGTCTCTTGTCCTACTGTAGGAGGAATAGAGTTTGACTTCAATTGCTGCTTTCCTTGGAATAGGTAACAATTATCATAGCATCTCTTGAGTTGATCTAGGTAGTATGATTTGTGAGTTCTTTAAGTAGGCCGGCTATGAATTCGCTGTTAAGGCGGAGATTTGAGCTCTTTTGGAAGTTCTAGCATGCTTTGGCTATGGGGCTTCCTCATATTTTCCTAGAGGAAGATTATGATACTTTTGTTAGATTAGTTATTAGAGGGTGCTTCATATGTTCAAGGCCATATAACCATTTGATGGTAGAGAGTGTTGATATTTTCACAGCTTTACGTGTAGATATTCAGTGAATTATGAGGTCCGCCAATGATTAAGTGGACACATTGGCTAGGGTTGCAGCTTTTTTGATGACTCCTATATTTAGGGCAACTTCAAGCCTTCAATCCTCCTTGGGCTTATACTAGGTATGGGGCGGGTACTTGGAATCTGTTCTTGTGGGTAGTTACCTCGTGCTATCTTTTCTTCTTCATTTGTATGAATATCTGTTGTTTAGTTGTTTACTTTTTTTTCTTTTTCATTCAATGATATCTCATCCTTCCGGTTTGTGCTGTCCTCTTCTATAATTTAATATAATTACTTCTCTTATTTCTTATCCCAAAAAAGAAAAAAATAAATTTGACTTTTAAAACCCTAATAATTATTAAAACAAGAAAATAAAATAATGAACTTCTAGTATATGAAAATTGAAATAGTATAATTAAAATTCATCTAAACTTGTAATTGATACCATGGTATATTGTCCTTTAAATTTTAAACAACTTTTTGGTTTGATATACCTTGCTTCTCTATAGGATTCTGTAAATTTTACTTCATATTATGATTTTTTCCACACGTTCTTTATATTTTTTTATCAGCCTTCAAATATTAATTTGCTCTTATAACCTCCCTTGTGGCATTGTGAGTAACTTTTGTATTGCACGTGTACAGCTGAGCGAGAGGCAGTTAATGCAGCTGAAAGAGCAGAGAGGAAGCAACAGCTGAGAGATAAAGTGAGTCTTATTTTCTGAACTAATTTTAGACAAGTGAGATCAAGAAATAGGTGTATTATGATTTATGCTGTAGTCTTATATGTTGGTGCATCATACGACATGGAGAATATACACGTCATATATTTACTATATTATTTTAAGTTGAAGATATATAATAATCGTTAAGGTGTTCAACTTTGAATATACCTTTTCTGGAAGCTTTTTTGCCCTCCAAATAGGAACTTTAAGTCTGAAAATATCTGGGAGAAGGAATTATTTGGGAAACTAGACGCATGATATTCAACTTTAACATTTTTATATTTTTGTCAGATGTATGTGGTTGACAAGAGGCGATGTGTGTTTAAAATTCTACTCTCTTGGGCTTAGATTTGTTCTTAAATCATTTGTAATCAGGCTAAGCTTCCTACCTCATCCCAGAACCTTTTCTGGCCTTCCCATTGCCCTTAAAAAAACTGCATCATGCTCCACATGGTTTGTTCTCATGGAAACAACTTTTCCAGATAGTCAGGTAAGTTGCTGTTGTGCCTATATTTTTGGTCGTTGGAAACTTGTACCTCAAATTATTCTTTAATCAACCATTTGCTGATTAGTAGCAGATATGTAAAGAATTACGCAATTATTTGTAATAATTATTTTAGGCTTGTAACACATGCTTCTTTGTATAATTTCCTCCCATCGAGCTCTCTTTTTCATTCTTAAATTCTATCATGAGCTGTCTGCATTTTTAGGACCAGGTGGAATAAATTAAATTAATATTCTTGGATCAGTAATTTCTACGTCTGAGTTTCCAATTTTTTTCTGGTATATCATTCTTACTAGAACCATCAATTTGTTAAACAAAACCATATCCGCAATCATCTAGGTTTCCATTAACTTGTCTTTCATCTGTTTAGTCATCTTCGTCTCAATAAGTTTTTTCACTGGTGAACCTTGCTGTACAACCAGATATACAACAAAGTATACTCTGGTTGACATCCCATAAGCACATCTCACTTCACCATCCCTTCTGTATTCCATTGTCATATGTTCTTTAATGTCCTACAATCATTATCCTGTGAGGTGTCCGTGATGAATTTCCCTAGAAGGTGCCAGTTATTTGATGGACTTGTTTCCAGTTTTTTGTACAGTTGTTACTCTTGTTAGTAGAAACAACTCTGTACTTTATTGCAAAACAGCCATGATTTCATATTCTTTTGGGAGGAAGAGAGAGTAAGAGAAGAGAAGTGTTTTGAAAATTCTTCCCTTGTCTACATTTTGATTCATTTGAGGAGGAGAAAAAAAGAGGAGGAATGATTAGGAAAGAATATTTTTCTCAAGGTCCACAGAAAGTATGTTCTTTTTTAGCCAAGAGTACAAGTATAGAACAAGTATATTGGTGAGCCTCTCTGTCTTTCCTTTTTCTGCATCCTGCTTCTGTCACCATAATTACATTCCTTTCTTTTTCCTCTTCTCCTCTCTTTAATTTTCTTCTTTAGTTGAGGAATTTAAAGTTATGTAAATGTAAGTTCTTCTGGCTGTTCTGCCATTAAACTAATGTCTTATAAAGTTTATTGTATGAGGCTTTGGTTTGTCAACAATCAACATCACGGCTACTCTCCCCCTCTCGTAGTTAAAAATATTTAAAAGAACTGAAGATGTGAAGCCTGGACTATAGAGCTTTGAAGAATACGGAAAACCCAAACAGAAACTCCTCAAAAAATTTCTAGCTCAAGAGTCAACAAAAATAGGGATTTAGTATGGCTACTTTTAGTTTGGGAAGCTGAGCGCTTCATGAAAGGTCCTCTTGTGTTCCCATTTATTGGGCAGAGAGGGGCTGTTCCAAATAATGCTCTATCATTCCTACCCTTTAACAGTAGAGGATTACTAAAATACAGGCTCTTTGGCAGATCTCAGAGCAAACCAACAAAGCCCAGAAGGAGTAAACACAGCAGTTACAAAGCTCCAAAGCGACCAGATAATGCATATTTAGTGGTCCATTGACTTCAATTTCTCCTTTCTCATGCTGCAACTTTTTGTAGTCGCCCAATCTCAAAATAATATGCTGTTAAAATTTTGTCGTGAGGGGGTTAAAATGACACATGCACAAGCAGGGAAGTCCTGCCTGGTTCAAAATGTAGAACGATAAAACAAGAATGCCATATGATATCTTATGCTGTAATCACCTTTTAAAGATGTTATACTCTTAAGCATGGTTACCAGAAAATGCCGACGCCCTAGCAACTTCTACTTCTGATCGCATGTTTCAAAACATGGTCCATTTACATTTCGAAGCACTCAATTTAGATATTTGAAGATATTTTCAAATTCCTTCAGTTTGTTCTACTCCTTACTGAAAAATTAATTGAAATTCAACAAGATTGAGTTTCTTAGGAAAAATATTTAAGGAAGTAGTCATATCACAATATAAGCTGAAATTTTGTAGCATACAGTGACTTTTTAAATTTATTTTGCATAATAAATTCCTATATATTAAATTTGAAATATTTAGGTGCCATTGCTGTGCATGCAATGGTAAAAAGTCTAGGCTGAACCTTTAGGCCATCAAATTAAAGGTCATTTTGTACAAAATAATGCCACTTTTTTTTGCCTTCAGTGTTCCTCTCCCAGGTCCCAGCACCCTGCATAGACCAGCACTGGTAATGGCAGAATTCCCATATATAAAATTCCTAAATATAGAACTTGTGCATTATAATAACGTTACATATCATTTTCTATGAAAAAAAAAAAAAAAAAACTCTCGCATATAGAAATATTTAAATGAATCTATTTGATCTCTATAATCCACCATATCGTAGTTTTTAAATATTTGGTGTACCATGTTCGTGTTCCAAGTTTTTGTTCCATGTACCGAAATGAATTCAACAAAACCTTGTCTCAACTTTTGGACTTGGTAACATGTATCATTTTGCATTATTCTCATCTATCTAAAGCCAGAATTCCAGCTATTACTTGTTTTCATATCTGTTCTTTCTATAAATTCATGTTAATCTTGGTCTTCCCTTATTTGGAGCATCAGTCTCAACCTGAACCATATAGCTTCTTCTTTACGTATGCATCTTCTTTACGTATGTCCAAACAATCTTAATTGGTTTTTTCTCATTTTATTTCTAATGGATGCTAGTTCAAGTGGAACTCTTAACACTACCAGAATGGGAAATTGGATTGCAGTAAACATGGGTCAATCGCTGATAAATTATGATCATCGAGAAAAAAAAAGGACCATGGATTTAGACGTGAAGTATTTGTGACTAGGGTTTTGCTAAGAGTTTTGGCCTAGTATTTTACCTCTGCTTTCTTATAGCTGAATTAATTTCGTTTTATTTTGTATATTAAGATCAGATACAGTTGCTGGTAACCCTGGGATGACTTTAACCAAGTTTCATTTTTAATTCCTTGTTTGTTGATGTTTATGCAGAAACGAAAGGAGGATATGGAGAGGCTTGAAAAAGAGAGACAGGCAGAGGTAAGAAGCTACAAGAATTTGATGGTTGCTGATAAGATGACATCTAACAAAGAGATCGCATCAGCCAACAAGTCCTTGCAAGAAATGGAAGAGGACTTCATGTAGAACACAAAAGTATGGAACTACTTCCCAATCGTCGCCACCTTATTGCAGGAAATGAGAAATTTGTCGAAAAGTAGTTTGGGGTGGGTGATTGTTCTGTTCATCTGTTGTGTTGTGATTGTAGGCATAAATATACTCCCTGGTGAAATGAAATCTCGAGTTCTGAACCTTTTTTTTCTCTATTTGAGTGTTAATAATGAGGGGAAGAAAATTGGATTTGCAACTTTAAAAGAGGGAGATGAACTTGCTTTGTATGACATGTGCATTTGGATAATGATGATAATCATGATTATAAATTTACGTTGTTGGTTCGTGGGTGATAAACATGTCTCAGATTGATATTAAAAAACAAATGATCTTGCTGGTCTTGGTCATATACTTGATGATTCTGTTGTATTGATTTTTGTTTTGTTTTGCTTTCTCGAGTTGATTAGATTAGAAGATTGAATGTCACATAGGTATAATACAATTTCAAAATATGAAAAAGGCGAAAATGATATTGACATGCTAAGATATTGATATATCGTCGCACTATTTTTGTGGTTATTCTTATGACTTATTTTTTAAGCTACAATTGAAATAATACATGTCACATAATTAAATATATGTCGTATTAAAATGATCTTAGAAAAAAGATCAAAATATTTTAAAAGATCGCTTTCAATTAAGAGCATATTGACCAATTCAATCCCCAGACTTTAAAGGGGCCACAAACTTTCTTTTTTGGTTTTCGAAAGTTGAAGAAGCTAATATATAAATAAAAATAACTGTCTTTGGCCCAAGCAAACCCAAACATGATGGGGGACAAAGAACCCAGAGGCCCAAACAGAAAAGATACAACATTTTAACAGCCTGAGGCCCAAAATGAAAACAAACAAAAACCAACAATGACCGTTAATTAGCCGTTAGGTGGAATCTGGCACAAATCCGGTCGGCAAGCTTTAATGGCTAATCCAAGCTCATTGGCTTCAAGACATTAAGAATATGGTTTGGACTTTGCATGCAATTGTAGCCTAACGTGATATATAGAAATACCCAATTATAAATTAGTTGCAGACAAGTTTTATTCATACTTGAAACACTAGTTTTCATAACTAGTTTCCAACATATATACAGACGTACAAATAATAAACTGTAAAATTTAAATTATAAAAATGAATATAATTTATAGTAATACATATGGATAAAATTTTGATTTTTTTATAAACTCATTTCCATCTTATTAAATATTATATTTAGTGGACATTTCCCAGAGGTGTAACTATCTTTATATTTAGGAGCCTGTTCAAAATTTTGGTCTATCCAGCCTATTGAATTCAAACTAAAAATATTATTTGATTAAAAAAGTACACAAAAAATAAAAAATCTATAGTCCTTTAATGGTAGTAAAGAATTATTTTGTTAGAGGGGCTTTTATTTATTTATTTATTTTATTTTATTTATCTTCATGGCTATTTGAATTGGTTGTGCATTTGTTTTAGGATTTTATTTGTTGGTGATTTTAATGTTAAGTATTTAGAGTTTGTTTTATTTTATTTTTATTCACTTGGCTATTGGAATTGTTGTGCAACATTTCATTATTTAGTAGAATTTTTTTATTTAATTGTATTTTTTTTCATTGGTGATTTTTTTTTTTTTTTTTTTTTTTTTTTTTTTTTTTTTGCAGTTACTTGTATGGATGGGAGATATATATATATATATATATATATATATATATATATAAAAGTATTATATATATGTGTGTGTGTGTGTGTTTAGTATAAAATATATATATATATATATATATATATATATATATATAAACTTTATTAAGATTATATATATATATATATATATATGTATATTTATATATATAGGGATAGATACTTGTATATATATAAAGGCACATATATTCGCATGGTAGGTTGCTGAAGTTATTAACATTAGTATTTAAAATTTAATTGTAATATATATTTATATATATATATACACTAAGAAATGACACGTGATGAATATTTTGTAATTTATTTTATATTTGGTAAATTATTTTATTAAATAATTACTTATTTTATTTATTTTAATAATAATTTAAAACTCTTTTATTTTAATTTATTTTATTTACAGAGACTCTTATATTTTAATTCATATTATATTAATAAATAAATATTTTTTATATTAATAAATAAATACTGAAACACTTTACGTTTCTAATAATAATAGTATATAGTGATTATTGTATATAAATGGGCTTAGTGGCCCAAATTTATCCATACATTGAGTCAAAGTCAAGTATTTCTCTAATTTGACCCAAAAACTGAGATGACACATGAAAAAAAAAAAAACTGTTTCATATTTCTGTGGCCTAAAATACCCTTTTCTACAATGACCTAATTTCAAGCCCTAATGCCTCTTTCGTATTCCATTCGTGCAACCCTCTCTCCCCCTTCTTTGTAAACAGCGATGAACAAACCCTTAACCATATGATGACTTTCGTGCGACGAAGAACACGATGAACAGCGACCGGCGATCAGTGAGCAGCGACCAGAGGGGAGCGACCAGAGGGGAGCGACGAAGGTCGGCGACCAGTCACTATTGTTCAGTTCTACCAGGACGAAGGTACCTTTCATTCTTGAATTCTTTCTGTTCATCTTGTTCCTTTTGTTGCTTAACAAAATCATGGGGTTGTCATCCTTAGCAGGATTTTTGCTGATTTGGGTTCTAACTATTTTTTATTTTTTGATTTATGTGAAAAGAGAAGAATTTTTTTACTAGAAGGTGTTTAAAGTTCACACCCAATTTTTCTTGCCTTATAGTTTCTACCCAATTCATCACCAACTGTTTGGCACTATGGTCAAGCACTATCAATTCTGGCGTCTCGTCACCAATTTTCTCTACTTCCGGAAAATGGGTATAATTTGTTTAGTTTTGATTTTTTAAGTGATTCTGACTCATGTTGGAGTCTATGAAATGGTTTTCTGTAAATGGGTTCCCCAGTCTTTGATCTGAGTACCAGGCTTGTATTTTGTTCATTAGAAGGGTTCAAGATTAGCATTAGCATATTTTTTGTGTTTTAATATTATTTGTTCTAAGGAATCCGTTAGGGAGAAATGGTTGGTTGCAAGTCGGGACATGTCAAAATGCATAATTGATTTCTTATTTAAATGTACAACAATTACCAAGCCTTTTTCCCAACTACTTGCGCAAATGTGGAAAAATATATTCAATTAATTAATTGAAGTAGTCCTAAGTATTAGGGCAGTAGTATTGCTTCATTGTTATGTGTACAAAGAAGCTTTCTAGAGTTGACTTCATCTCCACCACCCTTTATTCTTTTGAACACATACACACACATATACTTTGACAACAATAAGTTGTGTTGCCAACCTGATTGGTTACTACTTTTAAATGAATCCTGAGGCCCAAAATGAAGCTGTCAGTTACTTCTCATATTTTCTGTAGATTTTCATGGAATTCAGGTAGTGCCTTTAATCAAATAGGGTGGAATTGGTTGCTTTGGATTTGTGTGCATTGATCTTTTGTGGTACTCTAAGAATTGCTCTTGCTTATCTTCAGAGTCTCGGTTAAGTTCTAATCATTTACCTTGGTGTTTTGGACCTTTGTGGATTTGCAACTCCTACCAGGGAAACTTTAAAACATAACAAAGAATGGATATTTAATGAAGGTCAAATGTACTTATCAAAAAAAAAAAAAAAAGGTCAAATGCAAATATTTCTTGGCATGCCTTCTTCTTGTATTGAATGCCCTCCTCTTAAAAGGAAAAAAGGTGACACGGGTACATTAATCCGAAATGAATTTCCAAAATTGATTGTTTTATGTCTTTATGTAATTTTGTTTTGCAATTATTAAATTCAACCAAAATGAATTTCCAAAATTGATGTTTTATGTCTTTGTGGGATTTTTTGTTTTCCAATTTTTAAAGTTCTCTTGCCAAGATAATTATACATTTGACTTTATTCATGGTGAAAATGAGGTTATGTCTCTAAAATATTTCTTTGTAGATTCATCTTTAGAATATGGAATCTCATTTATCTTACCACTTCATTTTTCATGTAACTTGTAATATTTGAGTGGACTGGTGACAACAATTTGCAAGCTTAAAATATTTTTCAATCTTTTCACTGTACTTGATCAAGGAGATGTGATTGCTTCTCTAATCTAGTAACACTTTTTCCCTTTGAAGTTTGTTGTAAAGATTCAATAATTTTTATGCGTTCTTAATTTGGCATTTAGTTTATCAAGGTCATCGAAATTTGTAGCCTCTCCTGGATTGAATAATCATGACATTTGTATACATTAAATCATTAGAGTTAATAAAAATGAATGGTTCCTATAGCACCGCTTTTGGATTTGTTCGATTACTTTTCTGTTTTTGTTGAGGAACTCATAATACATTCGTTATAATTGTCCCAAGTTAGTCGGGTTTTTGCCCTGCCTTCAAATAAACTATCAAAGTCAACTGAACTAAATTAAGCTTTATATCCTAGCTTCTTGATTTCGACTACACAGATCCATTCTCAAAATTCAACTATATCTTGATCCATAGTTTCTGTTAACTACACATACTATTCTGTCTTCTGATTGTTTCACGTTTGACCATCCTCGATTAATGCTACCTTTTGCCTTCTAATGAATGCATTTGTTTTCTTATACTGTATTTCCAAATGTTACTACTCACAGCTCTTTCCACCTCAACCTTTTTTATATACTATATTTTCACATGTTACCACTAACAGCTCTTCAACATCAACATTCGCATCCCGTTGTGCTTTTCCAATGCGCTTCTTAACTTCCCTAGACTTATTTTTATCATCCACATTCCTTGCCTTTCCTCCCCTTTATTATAGAAAGTCTTATGTTTGTAGATGCGTTTGGATAATTATCATCTTATCCCAGGGAAAAAAAATATTTGATCCAAATCACTGCGTTATACATAAGAATGCATGTACACGCAAGTCTTTATTTTGCATCATTTATTTACACGTGTTTTATATAAATTTGAAATTGGAATTTGTGCCCTTTAGTGATCATAACTCTAAATGATTTTTATCATCAGATATAATGTTTTTTGATATCAAGGCTCATGTTTACCATGACTTTAATTTGATTCCTTGTCTACTTGATTTACTTAATTGCATGTCTACGCACACCACGATAGATTTTCCTATTTTGTTGACACTTCAGACTTGCTTCCTCTTTATGCTAAAAATGATCATATATCATCACTAAAAGTTGAAAATATAGGGTAAAGTGGAAAAACGATCATATATACTCACAGCTCTTTCCACCTCAACCTTTTTTATATAAGAGAATATGTTTGGTTGAGAATATAAAGCTTGTTTAAAACTTATATAACATGAGTCTATGGCATACACTAAAATAGATATGATGATTTGGAAGGAGTACCCAATCTCAGACTATGAAGGTTAATTTATTTTCCTTATTAAGTCCTCAATTTGTCTTGTCTGATATCTATATCCCCTTAGCTGTCACTGTTTTCCTAAATTACTGAGCCTCAAATTTTTTTTTTTTTTCCTCTTTTGTCTAGATATTGTCAAATCATCACATGGCTAAAATTCATGTGATGTTTGTGAATTGGGCTCTATATTAGAAAACATATGATGACATAAAGAGATATGTGAGGTGTTGTCAAATCATCACATGGCTAAAGTTAGCAATAGTGGTGCTAGGTGCATAAACACGTGAACTATTATGAAAGACACCCTTATCATGTCAAAGAGGGAGATGTGTAAGTCCCTTTTGTAAAATCATGACAGGGTACAATTCATTCACATGTCTGTGAATTGGGCTCTATAAATAGACATATGACATATGCACAAAACCATAACATTAGCACTAGTAAGTCTCAGTTGTTGATGTATGGAGCGAAACTATATAGAGCAAAAGTACTCGTTAAGAGATGCGTGGATTGAAAATAGTTATACATTCTCAATCGTTCTCAAAACTATTCCATTTTTAACTCCTCACATCGATGGTTCATTTTTTTTTATGTAATGACGACTGGCATGTAATCGTCATCTCCTCCATCGGGATTTGGTGTGTAATTATTTTTCAATGTGTTCAAGTATGTATTTATTTTTTCTTCAATAAAATAAGTGATTGTGTTTCTACAAATGTACCCTATATAAAGTTGAGAAAATGAGAATTCCCTCATGGAAATATAAATGGTTTGTGTTGTGCTTGTCAATGTAATAATATTTAAAAAGATTGAAATATCGCAGTGGCCAACGTGCCCTAAGTGACCATATGATCTTATATATTTAAATTAGTTGATCCTTGCAATAGTTTACCTTTTCTTGGTTTTGTTTATTTCTGTATGTTGTTTTGTTCGTGCTTTTTGGTAGTAGTTTCTTCGCTATATTTTGTTTGTCAATGATGATGACTTCTATTTGATTCATAAATGACAATCTTGCTCTTTCCTTTTTGTGATTAGCATACTGAATTTCAGAATTGTGTGATGCAGCTACTTGGATTTTGTACCATGGACAATGAGGTGGTTTTTTGATAAGTGCAGACAGTAAGGCTCAAGTGCTTGAAGGTTTATAAATTTTTCAATAGCAGTGCTAGGAAATTGATGATATTCTTGACAAATGGATTTAGTTCCTGTTTTGGAACATTGATGAATGGTGAATTGTTTTGGAACATTGATAAATGATGAATTTTGTAATTGTAGAATGAATTTTTTGTATAGTGATAGGCAGACATCATTCATGCACAACTTGAAAGATGCATAAAAACATTAACGCCATTATTATGAAAGATGCCAAAGAGAGATGTGTAAGACCTGTCAATTCATCACATGGTTAAAGGTGCATAAAAACATTAACGCCACTATTATGAAAGATGCGAAAGAGAGGTGTGTAAGACCCTTTTGTCAAATCATCACATTGGAAAAATTGACTTGTCAGTGAATTGGGCTCTATTTTAGGAGACATATGAAGACACAAATGTTAAAGATAGAACTGTAATATAGAGAGATATGTGAGGTGTTGTCAAATCTATCATTCAAAAAATCGCGTGTTTGTGCCTTACACTCATCCCGGTTTGTGTATATTCCAACATTTCGGCCAATGAAAACAATGAAAACAACATAGTATCTTCGTCCTCCCATCAGTTATCTACAAAAAATTAACATTATCAAAATAAAGACATTACATAATTGTTATTTTTTTCACATAGATTTCTAGGTGCACTTATAAATAAATACATTACACAATCAAAATGCAGAAATCTATTTGAAAAAAAAAAAAAAAAAAATTATAATAACTTTAATTAAATAGAATCAAAATAAAGAAAATTGGATAATCAAAGTGCACTTAGAAATCTATTTGGAAAATAGATTTTTGAATAGCTTTGATCAAATATGAGAAAAATAAATATACTACATAATCAAAGTGCACTTAGAAATCTATTTAAAAAAGAAATTAACATTATAATAGTTTTGTTAAAATAAAAACATTAGATAAGTAAATTACACTTACAAATAGGGATGTTAATACTCTGCCTCATGACAACAATTAGATATTTATAACAACTTTCAAACACTAAGGCTTTTTCTTGATGATATGACCATACCTCTTTATCTGCCATGGTGTAAGTAAGGCTGTTTTACACAATTTGGCTTTTTCTTCAATAACATGGCTAGTCACAGAATATGACTCTCTATAAAAAAATCAGCTCTAGTACATACACAAAACCATCCCACTTCCTCATCTTATCTCTATAGACAAAATTATATGGTCAATACACAAACCAAATCCTATGTTGAAGCAGCATTCATTGGTTCTCTCTTGTTGATGTATGGAGCGCAATTATTTGGCTTCCATTCATTATAGCATTATAAGCTATTCCATTTTTAACTCCGCATATTTGAAGTTATTCCATTTTTAACTCCTCACGACACTTTGTGAGGCCATGAGACCCCTCCGACGTAAAGGATTTTGTTGCTTGCCATTGTCTTCAACCAGCAAATATTCTTCCTTCATATATAATAAAATACTAGGAAATCTCCTCACTATATATAATAAAATACTAGGAAATTTTCGAACTCTAGTGAATTGTCTTCGATAAATTCATGCCAACCCTTTTCAAAATATTTTGTGTTATTAACCTCTCTTATTTCAACCCGCCACGATTTGCTTGCATAACTCCTAATTACAGACTTGGAAGGTAAAACTCCATAAAAATGCTTAAGGAACGCTGGTGGAATTTGCAGCCGTTGAGAGCTCCGTTTCGGGAGAAAAACTTTGAAGAACTAAGGGCACTTATCAGAACTTTTAGCAAGGTACTATTCTATTATAGAACTGGCTGAAAAACAGCTTCTTTGCCTATCAAGTAGAGAATAATTGTGTTTAGGATATATTGTAGAATAAAAAAATAAATAAATAAATAATAAAGAAACAATGTTCCAAGTGATGTTGGAGTATATTTTGTACTATTTATTTCCTCAAGTTAGTTAGATTGGAATAAAGTTTGTACTCTTTATGGCACTAATGGATTTATTTGTGGATGTAATGTGCAACCTAATTAGCGGTGTGGGGTGTAATACTATTTTCAATTGCAAAAATAAGTCTTTTTTGTGAAGGTACCACTTTTTCTCAAAAGGTACTACGTTTTGAACTGAAGCTACTACTTTTTCGCGTCCAGGTACCATGTTTTCTAAACACTCGCTTAGCTAGCTTGGAGAATATTTTGTGTTACTCATGATCCGAACGGAGCTGTTTATTGATCTAATGTTCAATTTAATTAGAGGTGTGGGGGTGTAATACCATTTTCAATTGCAAAAATAAGTCCCTTTTGCGAAGGTACCACTTTTTCTCCAAAGGTACTACGTTTTTGAACTGAAGGTACTACTTTTTGTCGTTCAGGTACCATGTTTTCTAAACACCCACTTAGCTAGCTTGGAGAATATTTTGTATTATTCATGACCCGAACGGAGCTGTTTATTGATCTAATGTTCAACTTAATTAGCGGTGTGGGGTGTAATACCATTTTTAATTGCAAAAATTGTTAGGAAACGTGCTAGTTTTAAAAACTTTTTGAGGGATTTAAATTTATAGATCTTGATTTATTACATAGAGACAAGTTTTATGCAAAAATAAAACATGATGTATCATTCAATTAAAAGATTGAATACTTACATCAAGGTTTGAGTAAACCTTAGATCTCTCCTCTAAAGTGAATGTTCTCACTTATTGTAGATCCCTTAGCAAGATGCATTCTCCTTGGATCTCCATCTTCTTGGTAATTGTTTTGCCTTTAGGAATCACTCATATGCCTCCATGAATGACCTTGGAAAACTAGGCTTGTGGGAGCCTCCATTAGATGAGAACATAAACCCTAATTTTCTAGAGAGAGAAAATATATTCCTTTTCCTTCTACTAAAAATCACACCTAAAATATACATAGACCATGTATATTTATAGGCAACATAAAGGTAAAGAAAAGGAAACAACTAATCCTTCTCAATCTCTAATTCACATGTCTCAAATCTAATATGATTTTAATATCAAGTTGGGCTATGAGTGAGAATCCATTGGGCCTATTATTTTATTGGCTACAATGAATTAATAATTGGCCCGGTCCATGGACCCAATTCAATTAATTTATAAATTAATTTCTACTCCACTAAAAGAAATTAATTGAACTCCAATTAAATAATAAATAACCTCTAAGTCAATATTACACTTTGACCCCTCTATGCATACTTAGTTATCGGATAAATAAAGCAATCAATCCGACTACTTAATTAATATATTTATTTTGGTACCTTTGATTATTTCTGGCTCGATCACAATAAAACATTTGTTTGACAAAAATAATAATTTAAATAAATAAATATATAATAAATCATTTTGTCTAAAAATACACGAAGGCCTTCGAATTTACTTTGTGATCAACCATAATCAATATAAAATAAATACAAGTAGCAATGATGCAAATATTGAAAATATAACCCTCTAACTATTAATTACATAACTACCCAAAGTGTCGGTCTAAGGATCCCGAAGAATCCGCCGAATAAATCAAAGTAATTATTAATTAATAAAAGAGTGTATAATTTTCTCATACTTAAGAGTCAAATGCCATGACGGTGATAGGGAGCAATTGCATACGACGGCTCTCGCAATATATCTCAACCTAACGCGGATCCAGTTCAAATCTTAATTAATTATGAGTCCATCTATAATTACCGACTATGAACCATTTATGATTACTATTTATATATCATGCATTGATTGCCATCACAAACATATATATAAATATCTCTTGTAATCAAATGGACACTATCAATTCTATAATGAATCGAAATATAATACATTGAATTCACCAATTGTATAAAACATAAATATTTCATAAACGTCAGGAACATATGTCACTTTAATCCAAACAGGAATTTGCTATGCCAAGGCATATAAATCCCAATAGCTCCCACTTGCCCTCATAGCCAATTCAAATTGCACCTAACTCCAATGTTATCCAGATGATGATCAAAATTATTGATCAATAACACCTTTGATAATGAATCAACAAAGTTGTGTTCCAATGCAATGTTCTAGCCACAAGTACATTTTCCTCATAGCCAATTCAAATTGCATCTAACTCCAATGTTATCCAGGTATTGATCAAAACTATTGATCGACGACACCTTTGTTAATGGATCAACAAAATTGTGTTCCAATGCAATGGTCTAGCCACAAGTATATTTTCTTGCCGGACAATATCATGTAGAACATAATACTTCCTATCAGTGTATTTTGTTCATCTATGGAACCTTGGGTCATTGGTTTGGACTACTTCTACACTATTGTCGCAATATAGCTCGATAGGCAGGCTAGTATGCTCCACAACCTCTAAATCAGTGAGATCAAACTAATAGGCTTCTTTTGCCGCCTTTAAGGCTGCAATATATTCCACCTGCAGGTTTGAGTCAGTAGTTGAAATCTGCTTAACAATCTACCAACTGATTTTCCTTCCATTAAGTGAACATACACTAAGTCATGAACCTCATAGTATCTACTTCTGATTGAAAATCAGAACTAGCATACCTGACTAGGACCATATCATCACATCCATAACTAAGTATGATATCCTTGGTCCTCCTTAGATACTTAATGATATTTTTCACAACAGACCAGTTATCAAGTCTAGGAATGGACTGATATCATCTGACTATCCCTACAATGTAGCGGATGTCCTATTTGGTATAGACTATGGCATATATGAGACTCTCATATGCCAAAGCATATAGTTTCAGTCTCATTTGCTCAATCTCCTCTGCTAGTCTTGGAAAACTACTTACTAGAGAGAGTAATCCATATCAATAAAGTAAGAACTCATTCTTTGAGTTATGCATACCAAACCTGGTCAAAACTTTATTAATGTAGGATTATTAAGATAAGCCTATTTTCCTTTTAACCTGATCTTGCAAAAGCTTGATCCTAGGAATATAGCTTACATCTTGAAAATCCTTCATTTAAAAGTAATTAAAACAACTACGTTTTTATTGATGACAAAACTTCCACGTCATTATAAATGAGTAGGATGTCATCAATATATAGAATTAAGAAAAATAATGACATTCCCTTGTACACTCATGATTTATTCACTAAGAAATCTTCTGGTATCTTTTTGTAGATTAACTTGCCTTTCATAGGTATCACCCTACTAGAAAG